AAAGAAAGAAGAGAGAGAGAGAGAGAGAGAGAGAGGAGGAGGTGGGGGGAGTAGAATGGAGAACAGCAGTACTCGTGGGACAACCCACAGGCAAGATGATTGAAAAGAGAAAGCTATGATTAACTCCAACTCATGATAAAATCAAACGAAAAAACTATCGAAGTATATGAAGTAAAATGTTTTGAAACATAGAAAAGTAAATGTGTTCCACTAAAGGCTATAGCAAGAACAGAAGCTGTACATACCCTCTCAAAAGCAGAATTGGCAGCAGCAGATGCATGAATACCATTTCTTCTGACTTGTCCGACTTATTTGGGTGGCGTCATCGTCAACCTTCTTCACAGATGTGCTATGTCCTCCCTCAGTCAGTCTGAACATAATTGTCAAAGGCAACCTCATGAGAAAGGGAGAGAGAGAGAGAGGGGCCCAAATTAGTACTTGTCTTAGTCCACAAGTAAATTTAAAAAAAAAAAACACAAAACAAGCGACAAACGAATTTGTTTTAAGAGTGAAAATGACCAATAATTTATAGTGATATGATCAAGTAGAGTTTAAGTCACCATGTAGAAAAGTAGAATGTGACTTCTAGGCCATTGGATTTGGATACACCTTCTTATGCCTATTTACATAAACTCCAATGGTAGAGTAAGCCAATAAATAGGCATAAACTCCAATGGCAGAGTAAGCCAATCTGATCATTGATCTATATTAAATAACAACATAAATTGGCTTCTTTGTGCCACAGAAAGAGAGAGAGGGAGCATACATAGGAAATGCGAAAGAGCGGATGCTGGTTCCACTATCATTAGAATGGTGAGAGATACTAGAAGAATGAGGCACTGATGATGGAGCATGTTTCCCTGGAGGACCAATATGTTCATCAGGAGACGTAGGCTCAACCTCATGCAAAATTCGAGCATCCTCCTTATCATCAGTGTTAACCTCAATTCCCATATCATGCTCGTCTTCCACCTCTCTGGCATCAGACCCCACAACGAAAGGTATAGGAGGAGACCCCAAAGGAGGGCTACTTGAGAAATTAGTGAGCTCCCCTGACTTTCCAAACAGGAAAACATGGTCTCTCGAGAAGCTAGAATTTCCAACATGAATACTAAATAAAGATTCATTCGAGGCCACACTCCATTCCATGGGTGTTTGAGACTTTGTTCTAGCAAAAACAGAAGAAGGGATCCTATATTGTTCGGCACTCGGGGTTTCAGGTTTACTTATTGATGGGTTTGAATATTCAGATTTATACATCACTTGAATTGGTGGTGATTGCCTAGACACACTCAAGAAACCTTGGGTATCAAAGGGCCTAGGGGGTAAAAGAGAAACGCCTGGTGCTTGAACTGAATCAGAGTGAACTGACTGCGAGAGCATGGGCCCTTCATAACCATGCCCATCAGCCATGCAATCGGGCTCGGGAATAGCTGGTGAAGGCTCAAGAATCACTTTCTGTCCCATCTTTGGCTCCCCTCTGAAACCCAATTCGAGGTCTTCTCTAGATTTGGGCACACGATTGTTTCCTTCTTCCTTCGAAACTGTTTTGCCAAGCTCGTTTGGGGCTAAATGGAAGAAATCTTCATCAGAAGAGGAAGCAGAGGAAGAAGAATCAGAAGACTCAGCAAATCTATCTTCTTTATTGCTAGAAATTTTTCCTTGACCGAGAAGAACCCTCTCATCGTCTTCCTCTACATTTTCAGCCTCTGGAAATGTTTTCGTGTAGTTTTTAATTCCATGGTTGTGCACTGCTTCCATTGCCACTCGCCGCCTTGTCTAAATGAAGTTATTCGTTATAATGGGTTTTTCTTTGTCTTTCAGTTACTGGTATGTGGGTTTCTCTTTTCGAGGTAGTTTTTTCTCGAGCATTCCATGGCTGGCTGAAACGGCTTAAAACAAGCAGATCACAGCCAACATGCATTGGATGAAGAATCACTAGCCTGCAAAAAACGTAGATTCATTTAACTAACAAATGATAGTGCTTTCATTTTTCATTCCATCAAAGATGGATTTCATAATTTTAATCATCAAATAACTAAAATTCAAAGAAGATAGCAGCCTTTGTATAATAATGACAACAATGCCGAAACCAAGTGTAGCACTCTCGAGAATGCCAATTTATGTAGGAGATTCAGTCTTGTTTCAGCTGAAAGAAGCATGAGGAACAACTGGCATAAAATGTGTCAATGCCATAACATCCAGGCATCAGTACACAGAAAGCAAGCAAATAAACGATCTGATAAACCTTCCAAATGGTGGAAGTGATATGAGTAAGACCAGAAAATATCTGAGAAAAGCCCAGTATTGGTTTTAACATGAGTGACAATAACCAAAACTAGTTGACACCGCCACTTTGATAATTTCAACTGTAAAACAAGAGACATGGAATGCAGGAGAATATTAGCTGGTAATTTGAGGAGAATACTAGTGTGAAAGTGCCAAGGTACCACTTTTTGATTACTAAGGATTAGAAAATATTTCCCATTGTTCATTCACGAATCGATAATATCTCAATAAGTATATTCAATTTCCCAAGTCATTAAAAATACTTTATGCAACCACCAAAAAACTATTACTAATAGTCACTAAATATGAATGCAAGCTCACTTCCACAATATGACTTGCCAGCATTATTAAGATTCTCAAATAATATGTGAATGTACTTTGTAGTATGTAGTAACAATAGAATGCACAGCCATGAAATATTGTAAATATGAATGCGAGCTCACTTCCACAATAAGACTTGCCTGCATTGTTAAGATTCTCAAATAATATGTGAATGTACTTTGGAGTATGTAGTAACAATAGAATGCACAGCCATGAAATATTCTTTTACCATATGATATGGTAAGCGCTGACCACAAACAAGCTAGTACATTAGTATGTACAAAAGATTATCAAGACGAGTCCTAATAAAGAATGATCATCTATATCCAAAAGGAATACTAACGCAAAAGAAAGATCAACAACTTAGCAAGGTAAATGTACTACCTCTAAGTTATCTAAGTCAGGATAAGGTGCAAAAAATGACGAAGAGAAACAATAAACATGTAGCCAAAGATAAAGAATATTTGCACATTTTTGTCATTCTATCATTCTGATGAAAAACATCATCATGATTCTTTTTCCTCCCTAAGTCCTTTGCAAATAGCATTTGTTTGTGCAATTCTGCAATTCTTGTTGTCCCTGTTTTACAGAGATACATTTGAGTAAAAAGAAAATAAGAACATTGGCACCAAGCCCAACAAATTTAGGAATAATAACCGATCAGATAAGTAATTTCTAAGTAGATGAGGACGTTTGTGAACCCCTACCATCTCCTAATGTTTCAAAGTTTTTATTTTCTCACCGTAGGGAGCTTGAAACCATGCAAAATTACAACTTTCCAAAAACCAAACACAAGCACACAGTAAAAGGGAACAAAGATGATCACCCAAGAAAAATATAATTAAATCCACATTAGCTAGTCTATATGCAACTCCATCGGCTTCTCCTACGACATACACAATGTCCTCATATAAATGTTAAACTGAACCCTGATTTCCATAATTCCATGCATTCGCCTAAGCTTCTCTGAACCAGTTATGTTTCGAAACAATGTAGAAAAGACATTTGTTGTGTCTAGCAAACAACAATTTCTTTTGGAAATTGAAATTTAAAAGGCTTTCTTAGCAAAGAAAAGCGCTCAGATCCAAAATATGAGATATTATGTGGTAATTGACAATCTTGAGTGTACATAATATTTCCAAATAAATTCCCAAAAATGGGAATAATGCACAGCTATGAAAAAGAATTTTCGACGCCAATTTTAAATTCAAATAACTTTCTTTCAACTAGATAACAAATTTCAAGTGAAATGATGAAAATCAACACCCGGTCCAATTCTTCAAAAGAATTAATAACACAAGGAAAAAAATCAAAGAAATTGGCTAGAAACCCAATAGGACCAATTCCAAAAAGCAAAAAGAATTTTACTCATCAAAATCCCAAGAAAAATATAGTCCAGACAAAAAAATGTGAAATGCTATAAAATTAAACATACAAATATTTTCTAACTAAGCAATTAAAATAAATAAAACTTACCTGGATCACCAGCCATCTTGTCCTTTTCTCCAGCATCAAAAGATTGGGTAAGAATTCCTGAGTAAAAAAAAATATGGAAAAGGAGAAAGGAGAGAATTCAATTGAAACACGCAAACCAGTACATTGTGAAATTTATATTAGAAAGCTCAATTAAAAGACTTAAACCCAATAAGTTATGAAATTTATGTTAAAAACCTCTAAAATTTTTGAAAAATAAAAGAAATGAATGAAAATTAGCTCCCAAAATAATTTAGAGAGACAAAAAACAACTGGGTCAGTAAAGAAAATCAAAAGTAATGAGATGCCAACCGTATGAAAGTGCCGACAGCAATGGGGAAAACAGAAAGGGGCGTGATTTGATGAGAGTGAGAAAATGGTAGAGAGAGAGAGAAAGAGGAGGGTGGTGGAAGAGAGAGAAAGTGAGGGGGGTTTGTGGTGAGAGGAGAAGGAGGATAGAACGTCGCCTGCGGCGTTTGGAAAGGGGGATGGTAACAAACTGTGGTCGGGGACCCATCTTTTCTCTTCACTCTTCGTAACAAACTCTCTCTCTCTCTCTCTCTCTCTGAGAGAATGTATCGCCATGGTTGGTGGGGGACGGAAGCTTTTTACGGGAAACTTATACTTCATCTCCTTAAAGGAAAATGGTTTGATAGGGCCGCAGCCCCATTAAAATCAGCAAAGCCTCACCTCATAACTCATTGTAAATTGCAATTCAAGCATTGAAAACCTTTAAATCGAAGATTTCGGCTTCAACGATTTCAAACTCTAAAAATAGTGTAAAGGTGATCAATTGGAGGGTCTGGTTTTTCGGCATTGAAACAACCTGTATGTTTAGATGCGCCTTAGTTTCAAAGTATAAGGTTAGTGTCTTGTATACTTGCTTTCCATTGGAGCTTCAATTTTCACACTTTTGTAGGCCTGGCAATGGGCAAGGGGCCCGGCCGGGAGAAATTGAACAACCAAAATGTGAGGAAAATTTTCTCCATCTTGCTTGCTTCGTGGTTTGAAGTCAGTTTCATAGGAGTTTGTTTGTCCTCTTTTGAGCTGCCACGATGCTTTACATAGCCGAATGGAGCTGTTGATGTCCTCTTTTGAAGCAGGGCCAGGCCAGGAGCTGTTGATGGGCCTCGATCAGGGCCGGGCCATTTTGAACCATGGACCTGTAATGTAAGAGATGCCTAAGAATAAAACAGAGGAAAAAAAGAGAAATTTTTCTATGGGACTGTAAATACAAGTTGCTTACCTACACATCTTAACTATGAGAAAGATCCATGTTTTCTTAATTGTATATGGAAACCATTTAGTAATTCTATTCTTCTCGCCCTAAATAATAGAAGAATTCACAGCTTTTCAAAGGCTTTTTCCATGCCAGTGAGAAGCAAAGACCAATTTCTAAATGGGAAAATCATAAATCAAGTACTTAATTAATCACGAGGTATGAATCAATAATGTTTTCTATGCATACTTCAATTCTAGGATATCAAATTTCTGGGCCTATCGGGCATGGCCTGGGCCTCTATACATTTTTCCGGGCTTACCGGGCTGGACTGTTGGTGGGCTTATTCTGGGCCAGGCCTTATCGGGCCAACACGAAACAGTTCTGGATTTTTCTGGGCCTGCGCGGGCCCTGTCCATTGGCAGCCCTACCTGATAGAGACTCAATCCTACAACATCACCACCACCACCACCACTAGTCATCTTTATGTGAAATGAAAGTAGAAATTACACTGATTACAATATGCACTTTCATTTCACTCTCTCTCTCTCTCTCTCGCTCACCACTACCTCCAATCACACACATATCTATATCCCTTTCCCTTGCCCACGACTAATTCGAATGAATTCTTTTTTAATTAATTTTTATTTTTTATATCATTATATATTGGATCATCTTTTTGCCGACCTCAAATAATTGGGAGAAGGCTTGGATGATAATGATGTCCTAATATTGTGTGATAGCACATAGGCTTACTCGGATCGGATCCCTTGCCCACCACTTATTCGAATGAATTCCTTTTTAATTAATTTTTGTTTTTGATATCATTATATATTGGATCTTCTTTCAGCCGACCCCAAATAATTGCGATAAGGCTTGGATGACGATGATGATGCCCTAATATTGTGGGATAGCACATAGGCTTACTAGGATTGGGTGGAGTAAATATTTTTTTTATGTAAAAATTGTGATGCCAATGAATAACAAGATGGTTATTTTTTGAGGTAACTATTTTTTTTTTTCTTTTGATGTTTTAAAAATAAAGAAGTTTATGTAAGGTTGCAATCTTATGGTAATGACGTAAGGTGCATCTCAAAAATCCACTAGCGAGTGTCCCAACATTGGAAGGTCGTCTATTAATCATCTTGACATCGAGATTTGTAGATATAAAGAGAAAAAAGAATTTCAAGTCGCAAAAACTAGCGCATCTTGTAACAAGTTAGGTGGACCATCTATTTTCAAGATTTTAAAGTATTTATAGATCTATTCGGTCTGTACAACTTTTGAAATTTTAAATTTCATAACTAGGGATTAAAATAGAATGTCAAGCACATCGTAAGATTTGTGACATCGGAATTACATCTCCAAACAAATTTTAGAGATGTGCCGTACTCCTACAATACAAGGAGGGCACCTTATACAAACCCCACCGTCAAAAGATTTCCCCGAAATTTTAATTTTATTTTTGTGGAGGTCCTTTTTTCCTTGCTACTTCTTTTCCCAAAATGCCCATTAGTTTGGTATATTTAAGTTTAAACTGTTCAGCACTTAAGAGTCCAGACACACTCATGTTTTTAACAAAGTTTGATACTAAGAGTATAGAACAACTCTATATATATATATATATATATATATATATATATATATATATATATTAG